TGATATATCCTCCAGGTGAAAAAGCAGGAGCACAGGCTCTTAAGTAGCTTCTCTGTGTTGCTGAAGGACTGACCAGGCTTCTAGTAGAGCTGGCTGAGAGAGACCTGGGAGGCATCTCAGCTCTTCTGCATCCGAACTGACGTCGTACTCCCTACACTCCTAGCAGTGCGCACGAGTGCTGTGTTGTCACTGATGCTGTGTGTGTTGCATGGCTGCAAGCTTCCCTGGCTGTGGTGTCCATAAACCTGTTGGGCTCCTGCTACCCCTGGCTTTGCTCAGCCCTCTCTGCTGAAGGACCTGCAATATACTCCTTGTCCACTACTAAACTGCAGTCGCACTGGGCCTCCTGTAAAGTTCAGGTGGGTCAAGGCAAAAGCAGTCCTGCTGCGTTTCTGAATAAGGCATCTATCTAGCCTTTGCTACTGTGTTGAGGAGATCAGGGAGGACTTAAAAGCACTGTTGTCAGACTTAGGAACAAACTTTACCCATTGTGAAAAACAAACTCTGCAGAAGAGAACTCCTCTCCTTGCTCCTTTTTGTATTAACCTGCGTGGCCCTTTGAGTCAGCCTCTGATGTGCATGTTGCCTGCCGTCTGAGGGTGGTGATGTGCGTTTCCATAATGCATGGCAGTGGCAGGGTATTTTACTGCCCCTCTGCCGCAGGGTAGGTGAATGTGTGTCAGCATCCCGGGAACCCAGGCTGTGATTCTCTATGAATTGCTTTAAGCAGCCCTGGCTGCCGCGCTCTGCCCTGTGCCAATACAAACACTTATGCATTCATGCACTGAGCAGGACTGGAGAACTGGTCCTGCTGGAAAATTCTTTGCATGATGTTTTCTCCTCCTCTTTTTTTTTTTTTTTTCATTTTCCCTCTTAGCCAGACCAGTTCCCTGATCTGGTTCACCATGAGACTGCAGGAGCAGCTATGCAGGGGATGGTCTAGGAAGCAAGAAGTGACATGTTCTCGTGGGAGGTGGTAGTTTAAAGGGCCCCGCTGCAGAATGGTAAACCCAACGTGACAGTGACAGGCTGGTTCATTTTCGCTCTTGGCATGTTGATTGCTGTGTTTCAGTCCTGCTTAATTAAAAAAGTTGCCCTGTCACAGTAAGGAGAAAATGTAATGCTGATGGGGCAGTAGTGTGGTACTTATCAGGTGAGCCTCTGGAAGTGTTGGGACTGTAGCTGCTGCGCGTATGGAGTAGCTGGATGCTCTTCTTCCTTGGCCACTGCATCTTGTTCAAAGGATCAGAGTATGCTTCTACAGCTGTGGCTACAAAACTTGACAGAAAAGGAGGATCAAAGCCTAGCGGACAGTGGGCAGAGTTTACAGTCTGATCTGTTCTGCCCATAGCGGAAGAGATCCTAAAAGCTCTCATCCTATTTTGAGCAGGCGTTGGAAAGTGTTTTGCTGCCTCAGGAGCCCAAGTGCCAAGGTAGCCACTGTGTGATGATCCGGTGGTTGATGCTTCAAACAAAAGCAACTGCTGTTGCAGCTAGGACCTCTCCCTCCAAGATAGTCCCCTTCTCAAGTCACTAGCCAAAAATAGGAGGCCAGTAAGAACTCAATTCACCAAGATTTTCCAGATTTCTTTATACTAATAATGATCTGATAGAGAAGCAGCCAGATGATTAACTGTCATACTTACCTCTTGCTGCTAAAATGGTGCTTGCCTTGCTGAGCAGAAGAGCATCCTTTGCTTTCCACCTGAGAGCTGCCTGACTGCTTCCCTTTGGAGGGGGCACCCTGTGAGCCACGAACCAGCCTTACGCCAGTTGACATGAACCGATGGATGGAAGGGTGGGGATGCTGAAGCCTGTTGGTACGCAGCAAAAGCTCATTGAGGGAGGGGGAAAAGGACACCGTCTGAATAGGGAGGGCAGAGAGCTGTAATGCTTTGAACAGCCTTGATTGGAACAGTAGCCAGGGATAAAAATACTGCTTAAATCTAGGTTACCCAGTCCATGGGCTGTTTGTGGGATGGTTTGTAGCTGTCTTTCTGCTCTTTGGCCTGTGCTGTTAGTCTGCATCTTTGGCTCTTCTAGGAAGATAACTACTTCATTAACCTGCAGGGTCACCAAGCAGCACTGGTGCTTATCTTGAGCAGTGGGGCAACAGGAGAAACAACTGGAAGAGCATTTAGCTGACATGGTGCCATATTGCTACTGACTTCTGATGTAGCAGACTTGCACGCAAGCTTTACTTCTGACTTGCCATATAAAACCATCAGTTCTGTTTCAGCTACTCCAGAATTTATAGCTGACTGTTAGAACTGAAGGCGTGCACGGTCAACTTAATGCTAGCAGCCTGTATGCCTGCAGAAGGGGGATAGGTGAGGATGCTGGTGGTTTGGTTTGGTTTTTTTTGTTTTGTTTTGGTTTTTCCCCCCCCCCCCTAACCATTTAAGCTCTCTGCAGACTCTGGACATCTGGGGTTGGAGTTAATCACGCGTGGGCTATATAGCTGCAGAATATCAAGGTTTAACAAAGCTAACGTTTCTTTCAGCAGGCAGTTTTGTCTTCCCACACACTAATTATCAGTATTTTGAGGTTAGAAGCTTTTCAAGCTGCTCTGCCTCAGATAGCATTTCTGTTAGCGGGACTAGCTCTGCTCTTCAATATATAGAAAAAGGTGAAAGACAAACCTTTCTGTTTGAGTTTATTTCAGAGCTGTTCAAATCCTTGTGAAGGTGTTTTTTCTAGACGCTCCAGTGTCATATTTGGTAGCCAAACTAGAGACCAAATGATTGTCTTGTTTTTATATGTCCCTTTTAAACAAGAGCAAACCATTGGTTTTGCTTCCCATAAAGTTAGAAGAATCTTGTAGAATGCTTAGGGAGATGTTTGAGGTGGGAGAGCTCATTCCTTTTCAGCTGAATAAGAAGGATTTATTAGGAGAAACAAATGTGCAAATTTAACAGCATTATTCAGATAAGGGAGGATTTGAAGTGTTTTTGACACTGCTGTAATAGGCTGATCACTAACTAGGATTAATGAGTGGGATACAAATCATCCTTAACCTAGTTTAGGGCTTGTAGCAGCTTGTGGCAAAGCCACTGTTTTTGCTTACCTCAAAGAGCAATTTGAAAAAAGCTTCTTCCATGGCTCCAAATGAAAGAAATGTGGTTCCTAGTTTGGGTGGGGTGAGATCAACTAATAAACTACCAATCTCCCCTTCATCATGAGAGAGTACTTCATATCTGTGCTCTAGCGGGAGGGAACTCTGTGGCAGCTGATGTGATAAGCACAGAAAGATTCATGTATTGAGACTGCGACCAAGACGAAGACTGAAGAATAGTTAGAAATGATGTTTTTTCCTTAAAAAACCAAACAAACACCAACCTGCAGTATGTCAGACTTCTGGAGCCGATAATACTGCTAATGAGTTGTGAAAGCCTGGCCTGTTCTTGATTAAATTGAAGATGCCACTAAGCAGCTTTCTGGTTGTCCCAGCAGAACTGAATAACTATTGTTCCTCAACAATACAGCGCTCAGCAAGAGCAGAGGCTAGCAGTCTCCGCAGGGTTTCCCCCAAACAGGCTGCTTCGATACTTGGGGAAAAGGGGGTCTTCCACTGGTTAATGGGAACTGGTTAATGCATATCAAAAATGCTGTTAAAAATTTTACCCCTCATGTGCAAACAAATTCAGTGACACTAAGTCAAAAGGGCTAGGCAAGTATTTCTAATCAGTTGTCTGAGCTGCTAAAAAAAAAAAACAACTAAAAAATATGAGCATGTTAAATGGTAAAAAAGCAACATGTTGTAGAAGAATGGAAAGTTTTTTTGACTAGAATACATGAGATACCATCAGAGATCCTTCAAAGGGTCTACCACCTGAACTTAAATGCGTTCATCCAGCCTCTCTGGCATCAGTTACAATGTCAATGGTCCACAAATAGTCTCAGTGGACTGAAAAATAAACTGGATGATGATGGAAGTGATTTCTACAAGCATGTCCACATTAGCTGATTATATCTAACAGTACAATGATAAAATTTTGAATGAAAGTAATGCAAAGTTGTTGGTAGAGCAATCTTGCTTTAAGCTAGAATTTATTCTTGGCTCTTTCATATGATAGCACAACCTGGTGATTCAATCTGTGTTCTGCACCCCTAATCCTCTTGACTAATCAAAACCTTTCTCATTGGTGTAACTCAGCTGCAATAAAAGGTCATGGAAAAGCCTTGACCATGAGGTGTTTGTTTTCTGAACAGCACGGTCAGTCTCCCTGATGCAAACCCAAATTAGTTCAATCCCTTCCGATGCTGTCCTGAGTCAGTGTTTCATGTTAACCTTGCTGCGTCTGAAATCCTTCAGCAGCAGATCTTTAGAGAAGCGTGACCTTTCTGCAGTACTTGTGTTTTGTGGTGCCATAAGGAAAAGGTTACTGCCTTGCATGCCTACTAAAGCTGTAGGCTACGGAGCAAGAAGTGTAGTCTTTAAAGTGTACAGTTACATAAATTAGGCAAATGTTCCTTAATGCTCCTATGTCATGAAATTGGATGATGTCAGGAAGTTACATCACTTTGTGGATATTCTGACTGGTGTCCACGTGTGCGTAATCCTATACTATCCCTTGAGTATTTGAGGCACAGAAAATCCCTCTCGGATCCCAGACCTCAAACTACCTGGTCACAGGGAGATACCGCAACTCCCAGTGGAGCAACTTGGGACAAGACCCTTTGGGACAACTAGTAGAAGGACACATTTAGTGCAACTTCACTACGTTCTTATATAAAGCTGTGGAAAGCAGACTTTATTAATGCTAAATCATATTTTCTATTATTCTCTTGAAGTACAGTAGCCAACCTCAGGGGATGGGAATCAGTCTGAGTCTGCCTTCATGTTTGCCGGGTGGCTGCTGAGCAGCAGCTGAGCAACTCTACACTGGAACAGCATGGGTCTCCACTGGTTTAGACTGGGCTGCAATGGAGTTTCCTCCTCTGACCCTGCTAAGATATAGAAATCAAACTAGGATTCGAATAAGTACATGGGAAAGGCCATGGAGAAGCAGAACATGCAGCAGCCTGGGAAGAGGCTAAAAGCTCAGGTGTGAGGAGAAATGTAAGGGTAGACTGGCTGAATGTGCTGGATAACAAGAAAGGAAGCCTGGCACAACTGAACAAGCCTCATCTGTTAAAACAGGGGAAGGGGTGCTGGCTTGGGGGGAAGTTAGTCTCAATCCTAGATAAAGGTGTATGGTGACATGTCTTAAAATGTATTGGCAGTCCCTTTCTTCAATAAAAAGCTGGAGAGATTGCTTTCTAACTGCTTCAAGGTAGAGTGTTCCCCACTGGGAGGAGAATGCACCCCCCCTTTTGCAGCGCATCCCCCTTTTGCACTCAAGCAAGCTGAGTGGGAGAACAAAGGATTGTGCTTGCCACTGCTAGTGCCAGAAAGGAGGGAAAAAAATGATCCCCGACCCCCCCGTCAACCAAAATGGTGCAATTTCTGAAGTCTGACTTCACTTCTGAACGTACTGCGAGGGACGCTCAATGGAGCAGAGTTTGGGAAGCCTGGCAGTTCTTCCCGTATTCTTTCTGCACCAACAGGTCGTAGCCTTTCATATTTGAAGTGTAGTGAGATCAGCTTGGGTGAGTCACTGACCTGCGACACAAGAAGGAAAACCTACAGGAAGCACTCATCTGACCGGCTTTCCGTGGATGAGTGCAAAAGCACAGTGCACACAGGCAGGGACAAATCTAAAAATCCAAATTACCTCATGACATGCAGCTAAACAAAAGATTGAAGGGCAATTTCTTAGAAATTACTCTAGAAATATGCTTGCAGAAGCTTGAGGAGAAGTGTTTTGGTTTGGCTTTTTTCTAGTAGAGAAGGGAAGTGCTAAAAAGTGTAATGTCTATGTGAGGTTTTTTTGTTCTTACTTTTTTGTTATTTAAAAAAAAAAAAAAACCAACAAAAAAACCCCCATCTAATTACAATGGTTGCCTGGAAGGGGTAAGATGTTGGGCCCGATTAGGCTGGTGGCAGCTTAGATACTTTGTCTTCAGAGAGGCTGAATCTAATGGGCTAGGTAACCACCCTGGAAACTAGTTGTTCTATGGGAATGTGGGGAATGGATAAGGTATTAAGGAAGAGAAAACTGGATAAACCTGATATCTTAAAAGAATGAAAAGGAGATAGGGCCAATAAATACAACCACGTAGGTAATAAAGTGACAATGAGAGAGCTCAACTGCTTTGTTTGACAGATCATACAAGTGCTGGCTAATTTCTTCCTGGGATGAAAACGGGTGTTAGAGTCATTTTTAGAGTGACACTGTGTTAATGCAAGCTAGAGAAATGCAATGGGCCTGGGTGCAAAGCTGGCAAGAATGTGTGTTCTTCTTTTTACATAGTAAAATGAGATTTCACACTCCTGATAAAACCATGATCAGCTTGGATGATGCAATGCAATATCTCCTAAACTTGCAGATGGGGCAGTGCTGGAAAGGGATGACGAGGGCATCATGGGGATAGGATAGAAGTCAAAATTCTGGAAAACAGGGAATGTAGTTGGATGGGGAAAGATGAAATTCAGAAGTGACTTGTAGGGCTTTGGTTTGAAATCTGAGAAGGGAGAATGACTGATTAGGTAATGGTAGCCCTGCAGAAATAAACCTGGGGCTACTCGTGAGCTGAGTGTCAAGCATTTTGTACTGATAGGAACAGTGAGTATATACAGCAGAGGGCAACAAGATGCATGAAGTAATCACTCTGCTTTATTTAGGGTTTTCTTCTTTGGCTATCCTGAAGAGCTTTGAATGTTGTGTGTTCTGACAAACAGGCGCAGCAGAACAGGGGTTTGGCCTCTTGTTTCAGCAACTGAACTTTTGTGCTGGTTGGTGTACTCCTTGCAGCCTAAATGGAGAAAGCTCGGGGCTGTATTCTCCTACATGGAAGGCTGGCTTCTATCTCAGGACTTAGTCTGAGTGCCTACACTTATAAAAAGGGAATCTCATTCTACTTCCAGTTAGATGCTGTAGTTTCAGATACGTGAACAGTGCTGGAAGGGCTCAAAAAGGCAGAGAAGCCACACTACGTTGTCTCCCCTTCCTTTCTGCTCCTTAGAAGTTACGCAGTAATTCACAGATGAAGTGGTTGGTAGATAGCGAAGATGTGAGCAGTCAGAACCTGCATCAGAATGGTTATGTCGTGTAAGGACTGAGCATCGGCTGCTACCAGGATGCAGCTCTGAATGGATTCCTTGCTTTCTTCTTTCCCAAAGCAAGTGCAGCCTGGAAGCAGCGCAGAGAAGGGAGGCAGCAAGGCTGACCTTTCCAACACCGAACAGACTAACCAGAACTACTCTTTTGGAGAGGGGGGGTGAAATGAAGAAAGATGAGAAAATGCAGTCTGAACAAAGAAAGTTTGTGTAACCTTCACGAGCCCTTAGAGGACTCTGCACAAGCAACACGATAACTAAGTAATCTCATCACTAACACACCTTTTCCCCTCCTCTTTAAAGCAAACTACAAATCTGAACCTTCCTCCTGAAGATCTTGATTCATCTGGTGATGATGACGATGCGTTCTCAGGTTCAGGTATAGGTGAGTTATTAGCACTTGTACTGTTAGTGCTTGATCCTTCCCGAATGTGGCAATCGAGATCTTGATGAGCAACAGAGAAAGAGCTTAATCTGTTTATCTTGTATTGCTTCAGATACTAACAATTAGCAGAAAATGAGTTGTAGGAGACTTGAAAGGGAGCAGAAGCAGGTATACTCCATGTCACTGCTAATATGAAATATTGTGTGAAGAATGTTATGAAACTGGAGTGATTCTTTACTCACGGGGAAGAGAGACCGTAAGAAGGGCCTTTGTCCTCTCTTACGAGCTGGTAGGAGGTACCATTTGAGGGTGTGTAAACCCCAACCTGCCAACATACATCAAGTGCAAATTTTATCTGTCATCAAATGTGCAAGTTCCCATGGGCCATAATTTTTTAAAAGCTGCATAAAGAGGTTTTAGGGTGGGGGAAAAAGTCTATTGGAGTGGTTACTAAATTGCATGAGAGAGACCTTTGGTATTCAGTGCTGAAGTTGAGGAGATGCTACTGAGGACAGAGAAAGCTAAAGCATGGTATCCTTCTGCTTCCTTCCAGCCACATGCTTGTATTTTAGATTAAATTCTGCAGGAATAAGACCCTGAAATCAGTGCCAAATGTGCCAGTGACTAAAGGTGTTGAGTATATGGGTGACTGCTCTGAAGCACATAAAAGATATTTATGAGAAGAGGGTCAGATAACCATCCTGAGCAACCAGTGTACTGAAAGCAGATGTCCCCCTTGTCGGCCTGTCTGCAAACAGACTAGCACTTGTGCCTTGGGGAGAAGCAGATGACTAACAAAGTATTGCTGAATAGTGCATTGGTCTGGCCCTTCTTTATTCCACTGAAAAGGATAAGGAATTACAAACTGAACTGCTGTTATTACGAAAATTGGCTATGCAGGTCAGGCATCCTCCTTAGGCCAGCATCCTGAAGATACTATTAATACATCTCTAAACCGGCCAAGGATAATATTTTTTTGTTTTGCAGCTCCCCTGACTGACCAGTCTCGCACCTGGAGAGCCCCAGGAGAACCAACTAATTCCTCATTACTGGCAACACCAATGGATTTCAACGAACAGCCATTTCCCGGGATTGAGAGCCAAACTGAAAAGGATGTAGTATCTCCTTCTGCAACTAGTACTGTAGTGACAGAGGAGCCAGTTGTAGCTGTGAAGGACGAAGTACCCGTCCTGGGCTTACCTGATGAGAAACCAACAAATGATGCGGTTACAACAACAGTGAGAAGCCCCACTACTCACTTTCCTTCAGTGGTTCATGTAACTCCTTCAGAAGCCTCAGGCACAGTCCATGTGCTCGAACCTAAAATCCCTATATCCGATGTGCCAGACACTACAGACGTGCCTGAGCCCCACTCTACCAGCCATCATGAGGGAGACATCACTGCCACCCCCACGACAACAGCTCCAGAGGACGTTGTTCCTACACATGAGGAGGTTTCTGAAGATGGCTCTGGAGACCCGGTGAGGACTAAGAGCTTTGACACCCTTTCCAGGGAGATGACTGTAGTAGTATGTAGTAAGCTGGTTTTGCAGGAAAGGGTGGTAATTTGTCAAAAACAATGATTGATTTTAATAGGTTATATTGGTGGAGGGTTTTAGATGAGAAAAAACAAAGCTGTGGGAAGTCTCCAGTAACAGACATGATGAGAAACATGAATAACCTGCCTTGTATGTCCCAACAGGGAGACTTCATCTTGACTAAAGATGATGATTTGGTCCCCACCCGGAACTCGGAAGTACCGGCTGACTCTGGGAGGAATGCCAAAGCAGCAGGAGCCTCGGGAATTATGGACAGAAAAGAAGTTCTTGGAGGTACCTGACATTCTGGATTTCTAGTGGGTAAAAGCAGACTCTTGTAGGAGTCTTCCAGGCAGCAGAAGCTGCAGTTCTGCAAGTACCTCTCTGAGCGTGGAAGCCAACGTTTTACGTTAGACCTCTGAAATGAGGGTGGTGATTCATGATTCTGTGGTGTCAAAACCCTAACAGGGTTATTAATATTAATCTGCTAATAGCAAAGCAGCCACTGCTAGTTATCTGGAATTTTATGTGTAAACCTTTGCTCCTCTCAAAAATTAGAGCAGTAAAACTGCTCTAATGCTGCCTGGATCAAATCACTAGAGTTGAACAACGTAGCCTTGCATGCTTTGCAGCATGGCACGGTGGGAGATCTGTTTCTCTAGGTTTTACCTCATGTAGATGAGCAGGCTTTTGGTAATGGCAGGATGACTGGTTTTGGAGGGGGCAAAAGGACAAACTAATTTTTGGAAGTCATGAAGTCAGGGACCATGCAGTAAGGAACAATCTGGAACTTAAAATCATACTAGCATTATGTGGTGTGGGCTCTAGAGTAATTTGTGGCTTTTTCCCCCCCTTCTAGGTGTTATTGCTGGAGGACTAGTAGGCTTGGTGTTTGCAGTGTTTCTAGTTGCATTTATGCTGTACAGAATGAAGAAAAAAGACGAAGGCAGCTATTCACTGGATGAACCAAAACAGTCTAATGGAGGATACCAAAAGCCACACAAACAAGAAGAATTCTATGCATAAACACTGATCTTCAGGACACTTCTTATTCCATCTTTCTTGGACTCTTCTCTCCCTGCACGTGGACCTCCTAGTGTGCTTTGCATTAAACTTAAGCCATATGATCATTGGGTTATTTGCCCTTACCACTTTGCCATTGGGAATTTTATAACTACAAAATAGATCTGGATTCATTGAACATTCCCTGCTTTCTTGCACAACTTTTTTTTTTTTTTTTTTAAACAGAAGTGGGACTGCAAGTTCCTAAACTCACTTTGGTTTATCTAAAGACTGCTGGGGCAGGCGGTGGGGAGAAGATAGGGAGCACTGTATGTATAAACCTCCTGATATTTAGGGAAAGGGCTAGCAACAATAAACAATTATCAGTGCTCAAATTCTGTATAGCAGGGATCCTTCCTATTTAACTCATAGATGTGTTTTAAGTGTAACAAATGGCTGCGCTGGGCAGATGTTTGGCACGCTGCAATCCTCTAGCTCTTCTTAACTGCCATATTTGGAGCACTTAATACCTATGAAACATCAAGCTGAACATGATTTCTAGTGAAATGAGGTGTGAGGGCCAGGGTAAGCAAATGACTGTCACAATGTTTAAAATAACTTTTATTTTGGAAACATCCCATACTCAGAACCAGCTCCTAAGCAGCTGGTGCATACACTAATACAAAACAAACCCCAAAGACCCCAAAACTAAGTGGAGAGTTGATTTTACCAATAGCGTTGGACTGTCCCACTACCCTCTTGCTCCTTCTAGGCTTAGGTAAGAAATAGATTTTTTTCTAAGTCTCATCTCAGACATTCCCTCTTCTTAGGTGCCAAATCTAGGCTGGGCTGTCATGCTGCAAATACTCTTACCCGCGCTACTGGGTGGTCTCCAGGTGACCGATGGCATGTTGTAGCACCTACCTCTCTGTGCGCTGTTCACAGTGGTTGTCTCGGAACGTGGTCTGCTGTCTTGTGGCACAGAATACCTTGGCACACAGGAGTAGAAGGTAGAAAGCAGCATATCATGACTTCACAGCTGAGGAGTAGAGAAGCATAGCATATGAAACAAGCCTGATGAAGGCTAAGTGTAGATGGCCTTAAATACATACAACAGTTGGCATGCTTGACTCTCGTGACTCCGGAACAGGTCTTCAGAAGCTGTTCCTGCACTTTGGAGAGAAGCAACTCCAGGGATGTCAGACTAATAATGGCCAAAAAGCACCTCCTGAGGAAAGTCCAGATGCCTGAAGCTGTTGGTGGTCAATGTGCTGTCAGATGCGAGACACTGAGGCTTTATTGAGGGTCTGGAGTTCTCCAGCGTATCTCAAACTGAGTGAGAAGTGTGGTGTTCTGCACAAGCCTTACTTCTACTCTGCCTTTGGTTAGCTTGCAAGTTCAGGTCCTCATCACTCAGTGCAGAAGGCATGGGGTGGGTGGAGGAGTGTTTACAACTGATGTAAATATTTGTACTGTTGAGCCAGATGGAATGATTGGAGAATATTGCAACAGTTGGTACAAATGTTGCACATTAACAGTAAAACTTAAAAACCTGTGTAATTTAAATGAAGTATAAAACACTCCTGGGCTGCTACGCAGCTAAAATTGGTGCCTTCTCTGCAAACCCAAGGGAAAAAAAAAAAAAACAAAACACTTCTTGATTCCAAGCTCTTCTTTATGCACAAGGAGAACTTGTGCATATGTGTAGCTGGCTGTTTTTAAGTAAAGCTGCAAAGTCCATTATATCCTTTTTTTTTTTAACTGAATAAATTTTTATAGGTTAATGCAATGACCAGATGGTGTTAATTTCAGCTGTAATTCTTTGCTTTGTATAGGAATGTAGAAATGTTGTTTGATAGGTTTATCTATGAAAAGGTTCTTGTAAAGCACAGGAAGATAAAGTGGTAAACGTCAGTTGTACCTCACAACCTTGCTAGGGGGAAAGGAAAAAAACCTGTATATTTTGGTTTGTGAAACAAACGTGACATTCTCTGTTATTTAAGTGGTACAAATGAAATACGAGTTCTAACAGAAGATGCAACACTTGGTTATCTGTATGCCATGTAAAGGTATACTGCAATAAATGGCATTTTGGCAAGAATGAGTTTGATCTGTGAACATTGCTGTATATAGTACTTCACAAAGTAGATGTGGTTTTCAAGACTGCCCAGGTCTTTAAGGAAGCTGGATTCAAAGTATTAAATGTGAACTTTGGTGCTAATCATAGAATCATTTAGGTTGGAAAAGACCTTTAAGATCATCAGTTAACTTAGCACTGCCAAGTCCACCACTAAACCATGTCCCTAACCATGACATCTGCCTGTCTTTTAAGTACCTCTGCGCAGCCTGTTCCAATGCCTGACTGCCCTTTCAGTGAAGAAGTTTTTCCTAATATCCAACCTAAACTTCCCCTGGCACCGCTTGAGGCTGTTCCCTCTTGTCCTATCGCTTATTACTGGGGAGAAGAGACCAACCCCCACCTCACTACAACCTCCTTTCAGGTAGTTGTAGAGAGTGATAAGGTCTCCCCTCAGCCTCCTTTTCTCCAGACTAAACAACCCCAGCTCCCTCAGCCGCTCCTCGTAAGACTTGTGCTCTAGACTCTTCACCAGCTTCTTTGGGCGCACACACATGGAGGTTCAGCTCAGAATTTGAAGGGCATGACTGTGGCCCGCTTCCCTCTCACCCTGCCCTGGATGTCTGGGTTGCGGTGAGATGCTCTACCCAGAGGCAGCGGTGTGGGGTATGAACAGGCTCTAGTGGAGACTTGAACAAGGTCTGTTTGTCAGAGCCCTGCAGCATTTCATGCTGGTTCTGATTTTTGGGAGCTCTCCTTGCTCATGCAGTATGTCACCATCCCCCAAAAGGTGAAAAAAGTTGTAAAGCTTCCACAGGGCTCCCTCTTGCTCCCTGTGTTCTGCCTCCAGGAGTTTGAGAGCAGGGAGGACTGCAGGAAGGGGCAGCTCCAAGTCTTTCTATTAAAATGTGCTTCCCAAGACAAATTTGGAGATCGTACCTCCAAGGAAGGAGAAAAGAGTAGGCCTGTCCTGCGTATTCTCTTGTACAGCATCAATTACTCTGGGGTGCTACGGCTTGTGTGGGAGGAGGTGGAGCAAAACAGAAGTAGAGGAAAATGTCCTTCACCAAAGAGGGAAGTCAAAAGCTGCTGCCTGTCTGGGTGGGTCTCATTGCAGCTTAGACAATTATTTTCTTTTACAAGGCTTTGAGCTGTAAGGAACTTACTTTTTTTGTTCTGTAAACTAGCCACTGTATTTTTAGTTTATGATCTCCTCTTGCTTACAGTGGAACCATGTGGGCTGTGTGTTTCCCATCAGAAAATGTTTGGAGGAATCTTGGTAATCAGAACGTTTTGAGATCAGGCAAAAGGACTGAAGGATTGAGTTCAGAAGACTTTGCTTCCATAGCTAAACAACGGTGGAAAGTGCTTTCTAACTGCATGCTAACTTTGCCAGTCCCTTAAACTGGGTAAAAGACTTGTGTAAGATCAGAGTTGGCTGTTTCGCATAGCAGTGTCTTATCTGCTATGAATTCTCTTCCTTGGGGCTTCCCAAGACTTTTGCTTCCACTTTTCTACTCAGTGGTAATGTGGGAAGTTAAGGTGACAGGAAGGAAAAAATGAATTGCCGAGGAGAGTGGGAAATTTCTATGTGAAAACCGTTACTAGTGAAACATGGTGTCTGATCTTCAGTGTGCACTTGAGATAAACTTTGTTGTACTAAGGGAGAATAATCTATAGAAGGGATAGCCTGCCTCTCTTTCTGCCCAGGGTAGCCTGGGTTTCCCCGAGTCGCGTTTCTGTTCGCTGTGCTTCCTGACTTTCTTTTTCATCCACCCTGGAGCAATTATCACGTTTGCTCCTGTTCACAAGTGAGATGCAAAGAATGTAGCTGGCAGAAAATCTGACCCCTTCTTTGTTCTGGAAAAATGAGCTGGAGGGTGTAAATGCACTGACTGTCAAGGAAGGCAAACTATGAGAGGAGGAGGACTTTTCACAATTCTCACTTTGTCAGGTTGCATTAGACCCTATAAAGGAAGCTAAAGCAAATCTAAAAGGCTGTGTAATCTTGTAATTGAAATAGAGAACAGGAAAAAAAAAGAGGGCCACTCTATGGGGGTACTGAGAAGAAAAGCTATTTATTTCAGACATTTCATAAATGCCTTATCTGAGTCTTCATCAGGACTAGTATGTATATTGATGAAAATGAGTAGGGGAATAAAGGTACAGGGTGAAATTTCCTCCGTTTGAGATAGCAGCAAAAATAAAAACAACTTTAAAAATGCAGGAGATGAGATAAAGGCTCAAAACCAAATAGTTGCTTGGCATTCTGAGGGGGGTGTTTAGCTCATGAAACTGGAAGTCTGACGGACAGCATTTTTAATAAGCTTGTCAAATTAGAGGACAGCAATTTTACTGCAGAAAATAAAGTGCAGTGTCGGCACTAAGGAAAGAAGGGACAAAAGGTATGGCCTCAGCAGTATGCAGGATCTTACAAAAGGATCTGACAGATAGAAAAATTAAAAGACAGGATGCTGATACATGGGATAAAATATAAAATAGGTTCGCCAAAAGTAGATTGTGCCAGACTAATCAGATCTCTTGCTTTTTGATAGCAGTTTTTTCAAAGGGAATCTAATCTAATAGAACTTCAGTAAAGCAATTTATCAGTGCCACACAGAAAATGGATAATCAAAAGGAGGAAGCTGGGGATTAGTGGGAGAATTGTAAAGTGGTGAGGAATGGGCTAAGGAGGAGCCTGTAGCAGGCTCTGCAAGACAGGGAGTTAGCAGGAAGAAAAGACCTCATTTTGGGGACATCTTTCTAAATATTGTCATTAAGCTGAAATGGAAGGGAATACATGGAATTATATTTGCTGTTGGGAATTTGGGCAGCCTCAACAGTGTGGAATATAGAGAGTAGAATATTTTAATGTTCTGACAAGTTGCAATTAGGATCAACTTCAATAGGACAAGGTCAGGCGTTGGAGGGGGTAACAACAGGAATTCCTGCTCTGACCTGGGAATAAGAGAGGGGAAGAAAGGGCTAGGTGAATTAGTCAGTTTTAGAATAATTATCTGTGTAATGCAGCTGTAAGAAAGGAAAAAAAATACAGGATGTAGTAGCCAAGGCATTTCCAGCAAATAGAAGGAACTTTCAGCATCGTGGGTATCGTTATACAAAGAACTAGTGAGCCCTTTGCTTGCCATCACCTATATGCTCTAGGATTAATTCATGCTGGGAAGGAACAGAGGAATAACATTAAAATGATGTGGGAGTACAGAGTCTCTTCCCACAGTAAACGAATGGTGTTTGGTTTGTTCAGCTTGGGAAGACACAGACCAACAGGTCTTAACATTTGCTGTCTGCATGCTTGTCGTGGTACAGGACAATACAAAAGATGGAGATGAGCAATTTAGGCTAAAGAATAATATGGGAGCAAGAAAAAAAAAAGAAGAAACTGGCAAGTATAAACACTGAAATAATTAAAAACCTTGAGAATCCTTCCATTAATGGTGGCAGCAAAAGATCAAAATGGATTGAATACAAAGTTTGATGTTCAGGAAGATGATGGTATGAAATGTTCCTGAGCCAGTAGGATGTCTTTCAGCCAATAGTCTATGCAAAGCATACAGAGACCAGTTAAAAAACCCTTCCTCTCTTATCCTGTTTTTCCTCCTAACAATCTCTAGATCAAGATTGGAGTTTTTTGGGCCACTTCGCTATGAGCTGAGGAGAAAGTTCTTCGTCTAATACAGACAAGATCAGCCGAACCACAT